CCATTTTATCATGCTGTATCAAAGTAATATTGATAAAAGTTGTGTAATTGTATTGTAGTGTAGTATTACTATAAAACAATGCTATGATTATGTCATAAATGTTTTTATTTGTAGAATTATTATTATTTTATGCATTACTTGCTCTACCAAACACAAAGACAGCCAGACAGACTGGCGACCCACTGGTGATTGTTGCCAGGCACTTTTTTGTGAAAAATTATGCAAATAAAATATTCGAAATGAATTATTTTAAGCAAATAAGTACAGTATTAAGATCAGTAAATACATACATTATTGGCCACTTCGGACACATAGGTGAGCTAAAAATAGCTGCTAAGTGCTGAGGGACCACGAGCGTCAGCTGTCAAACCAATACAGGTTGTACCTCTTTTGTGGCTTTTGTGTGTATGTGCACATGCGTGACCGCCACAGCTGCACAGCAACAACAAGCGACCATGTGGTCGCCACTTTAAAACGAGCAATCAAACTGTGACAGCGTATGTAATTTTGAGTCCTACTGTTTCCATTTACAGAGTACTGTACAAGCCCATAATAATGGCTCCTAAAGTAGATAAACTTCGTTGTGTGAAGAGGAAGAAGAACACGTTGAAATTGAGTGACACACTTGAAATAATTAAGAAACTAGAACGTGGTGTGAGCAATACTGTTCTAATGGAAACATACGACATTGGAAAGTCTACAATTTATGATATAAAAAACGCAAAGAATAAAATTCTAGAATTAACAGCTTTATCTTTAAAACTGCTCGTTTTGATAAATGAAGCATGCTATATTTGCTAATGAATAAACTATCAAAATTTACCTGTTCATCTCTTCTTTATTCCTCCTTAAATTTGAATTTTAAAAGTACTGCCTGAGAATCAGGAAAATCCGAAAATCCGGACCGATCCAATCCCCAAGCAGTCCAGATTTTTGGATTTCTACTGTACATTACAGAGCGTGGCTTGGCTCTGCAAGGGATGACCCAGGTGGAGCTGAGGCACTCTCTTTTTCCTTACTTAAGGATCTGGAACAAATAATTAAACACCCTACACTCATTCCTGATCGACACAATCAACTTACTAACAATCTTGATCTTTGTTTTACCTCTAACCCCTCACATTATTCATACTCAATTTCTGCCCCCTTAGGGTCTTTGGATCACAATCTTATTTCTATTAAATCAAACTGGACACGACCACCTCCCCCACCCCCCTCTTAATGCCAACTGTGACACTGTCAGAGGGCAAACTGGCAATCGTTGCGAGAATTCTTCTCCGACTTTCCTCGAGATGAATGTTGCTTTTCCACTCGAGACGCCTCGGTATTTGCTGAGAGCATTGTTGGGTTATACAGGGTGGTATGTAAAGGTAGGCACGCGCAACTTTTTTTTTTGCACCGCAACCGTGGCTCTGCTGACATAGTTTCGCCGCAATCGCAACCATTTTCAAAAAGTTTCGCCGCAAACCGCAACTTAAAAAAATTTAAAAATAAATAAATACCTTGTACTAAAATAAAAAATTGCCTATTTACAAGTAACACAAAATATAATTGATACAAAAAAGTTAATTTGCCTATTTACAAGTAAAACAAAATATAATTGATACAAAAAAGTTAATATCATCAATATTTTATTACAAAATTTAAAAAAAAATGCCTCACTGCCACTGGCCTCAGTCTCAGTGGACTGGCTGTCAACAGTCTCAGTCACTTCAACTTCCATGTCCATGTCCTGGTCGGCAGGATCACTGCTGCCGACCACAGACTCCTCTTCTTCACAAAACAATCCATAATACCAGTAATAACAAGAAACTGACGCCTTAACTGCAGTGCCACTGACTGCCTGACTTGTTATAATATGAATCATTCCTCCCTCCCCTTCCTTCGCTGTAGTTGCCAGATTTAATCTTTCACATTAACTCTAGAAACTAGAGTTTATGTGAAAAAATCTGGCAACTACAGCGAAGGAAGGGGAGCGACGGAGGGGGGGGGGGGTCTCATCTGGTTTACAGTTCAGAAATATGCTACCCAACCCATATCATGATGTATGCTGAATCATTCCGTCAGAAACAGAAATTTTCGTAATGCGCAGGTCTAGGGATGCCCGTTTGTTTATGCGGTCATATTCCAATTTTCAATTATTGCTAAAAAAATTTGCGCATTGCGCTTGAAAATGATCGTAAAAGTTGTGCCACAACCAGTTCCGCAACTCTCTGGAAAAATGTGCGGCGCAACTGCCCACCTTTGGAGGTATGAGTGCATTTATCCCATCTTCTACCAAAAGTTTCACTTTACAATCATGGTTTGATCGCTCCTGTTCTCTTACATGTAGCGAGAGACATAGGGCGTATCAAGTTATGAAACTATCTCCTCCTATTACCCACTCCTCTTTCATTACTAATAGGAATTGTTGCAAGGCTATTCTTCGTAGGGCCAAGCGGAATTTTATAAAAAGAAAGACCCGTGTCCTGACTAACTCTTCTTCTAGTAAATCCTTCTGGTCCTTAACCAAAAACATCTGTAATAACTTCTGCACTCCCTCTTTTCCTCCTCTCTTCCGACCTGATAACTCTATAGCCAACTCTAACTCCACCTTAGACGATTCCAACTCTATCCATTCTACTCCTGCTAATGAACCTATGCACTTTCCTATAATCTCCACTCGTAGGGTTACTGGTGTGTTATCCAGGTTGGATGTGAGTAAGAAACATGGACTGGACAGAATACCCCTCCTCGTGTTCTGAAGGAGTGTTCTGAAGTTCTAGACCCTGTGCTTGATCGCCTCTTTCACTTTTGCCACAAAACCCAAAATTTTCCTTCTTCTTGGAAGCATGTCTCGGTTCAGCCCTTCCAGAAGAAGGGGGACCATTCCAATCCCTCAACTATCGCCCCATTGCCCTAACTTCATCCCTCTCTAAGATTTTTTAAACTATCTTTAACAGAAAGTACAGTACTTAGCCAATTAGAGCGCACTCACGATAAAATAGCAACTCTGAAAATGTCTTGGCAAATATTCTCACTCTTCGCTGTTTTATATCCTTATTACTACTGTATTTCATGTCAGAAGAAATTCCCGACGATGTCACATGTCAGTCACTACGTAGAACAAGTTCATTATACCGGAAGAGGTGCCACAGAGGAAACCCGAATTACATACTGTACACTAACCGATTTATTTACAAAAAGCTGGAGCTGGAAATCAATGTTTTTATGCATGTCTATATTTTAATGACTTATGACCATTTTAAACATTTACATCCCTCGGTTTATAGCTTCAAACTGCCAAATCTATTAGCCTGAAATCTGTAAATTACAATTAAGTTATTCTAAAGCAGTGTGAAATAAGTACTAGTAGTGCAATGTTTGTGTAACGGAATAACATACTTATGTTGAGATGCAACCATTTTAAAGCCTGCGTTACATTTCTCTATTTCACTGCACTTTCGTACAATATTTACAAAAAAAAAATTTAATCATAGATAAAGCTAAAATACATGGTATATACAGTATACTAATAGGTATGGATTATCTCTTGAATTGGGTGCAAGTAATCTTGGGTACGACTTATCTCGTGAATTGTCTTGGGTACGAGATGACCCTAACCCTTATTTTAGGGTAAAGGTGTAGATAATGGCTACCACCAGAAGTTGTTTGTTGATTTTCTTTATTTTTCCTGTACTTATTGTTTTGGTGATTTTAAGCATATTAAAAGAAACGACAGCATTCTATTATGATTTTAACTTAATTTATTTTTTTATTTACTCTATCCAGCTTCACAATTCTCCTCCCGGCGCCATTTTTGTTGTTTACCTCGCTGAATCCCTCTTCAAGATAAGTTTCCTAAATGATGGTGAACACTTCCACGAATCCCTCCTCGCCATTGCTGATGTATATCAACTTCAATATTAAGGTAAGTTGTTCAACACATAAATTAACACGATAATAAATAGAACATAATAAAACCTGTCCTAACATACCCAACCTATGGGTATGTCATGTTAGGTCAGGCTCTATTAGGTTCTATGCATTGTCGTTTCCATTTTTGTGTTTAATATATTAGTATGTAGAAATAAATTCAACCAATTCGGATAATTCTTTCTAGTGGTAGCCGTTATCTACACCTTTACCTATTTTAGTTTCGGTCATCCGGGGAATCTGTGGGGGGGAGGGGGGAGACCTCTGGTTAGGTTACACTAAGTTAAGTTAGTTTGAATATCTAAATATAGGGATGACCAAAAATATAATTTTACTATATCTTTTAGCTATGAAAGCTTCAGTGCTACTAAAATGAGAAACGAGAGCAACTTTACCACACATTACCCCCTTATTTACATTAGAATCCTCGTATAAGGTATACCATGGCTGTGTGAGGTTTGCAACACCTTTCATTTTTTCTCCATAGCTGTCAGCTAACTAATTGTTTATCTTAATACATCATGTTAACATTAACCTCACTAACAGCTGAAAGACCTGGATAAAGATAATAAAAAAGTTCCAACGTATATAAGTTCTGAGGTCGTTTCAAGGAATGAGATGCAAAGACTTCATGTTGTCTTCATAATATATTACTGTACCAAAGGAACACTGCTAAGCTTTCCAGCTTTATGGATATACCATAATATAAAGTGGTAAAGATATGCACCAATGAATGAAAGGCTAGAGCCGTGAGGACATCATGTGAATAAAAATAGCATATCAACCCTCAACACCCAGCAGGGTCTACATCAACACCGAAAATCTTTACTTAAAACCCACTAAGTAGGCTCGTTTACTTATGAGTATAAAATGACTATAAGCAAATTACCAAACCTAAATTTAACAAAACAAGTTAAAATGCCTAATTACGATACAAAACTAGCGTGATCAGTCCATCGATCGCGCGGGCTAGAGTCGTCTAAGATGAGGTTGGTAATCCCGAGAATAGCGCTATTACCTTCGTCACTTCAGTGTAGCTGTTTTAACCTTCTTAAAGTAACTATTACAACAACACACTCACTTACCAACACCAAGGTTTAGTCTGCTTCTTCTTTTTACGACCCATTTTGTATATGTATACCGCACAATTATCCTCAGGAAAACAATATGGCAGACTGCGTCGTACTAACCCCTGTAGTACGCATGCGTCGGGGTGTAGCGCCAGATGGCAGCTCCAGCGCGGCGCCATATATGAAACCAACCTGGCTTATAATTATGTCCACCACAAGTCTTATCTCATAATTTTTTAACTGTTGTTAAAATAGAGTAATTACTAACCTTATTACGCACTTATAAACCTTCATTGCTGAAGCGCAGAAGCGCAATAATAATGTTACAGCAACAACAATATATCCACCACATTAAGAACATAAGAAAATAAGGAGTCTGCAATAGGCCGGTTGGCCTGTGCATGGCAGCTCCTGTCTTTTTTTTTTACTTTTATCCTCTTCGCCACTGATCGGCTTGTTAGCCGCTTGGGCGATCGGTCACGACTCTTTTCCTTTATATTCTTCACCAAAAGGTCGGCTCGCTAGCCGCCCGGGCGATCGGTCACGTCTCTGTCACGCACTGTTGGCAAATACTGGGCATGCACCGGCTCCTGAATGTACCTGAACCCGCTCCAGTGTTGGTCAAGTCTTCTCTTGAAAGAGCTCACACTCGGTGCCGTCACAACACTTTCTGGTAGATTGTTCCAAGAGTTTACAACCCTCACTCCGAAAAAGTTTGCCCTCACGGTTTTCCGGACTTGCGGCTTCTTCAATCTTGAGCTGTGACCCCTTGTGGGGCGAGCGTCCGCCAGCTCCAAGTAAGGACACTCAACTGAGTAGTGCCCCCTGAGATGCTTATAAACCTCAACTAGGTCCCCCCTTGCCCGTCTGTAGTATAAGCTAGGCAAGTTCAGGCGCTCCAATCTCGCAGGGTAGCTGAGATGCCGAAGTGCAGGCACCAGCTTGGTGGCCCTCCTTTGAACATTTTCAACCAACTGACAGTCCCTAGCATATCTCGGGGACCAGATGGGGTGACAGTACTCCAGATGGGGAAGCACTTCACTCCTGAAGATCGTCACGAGGGACGGACCGTCTAGATATCTGAACGACCTTCTTATAAGACCCAATAATTTATTTGCCTGATTTACCTTCTTCTCACAATGGCCCGAGAACTTCAGCTCATTGTCAACATACACACCTAGGTCCTTCTCACACACAGTCTCAACTAGTACATTTTCTTCATCCCGTTGGGACATATGGTACGCCTCCTTACCGTTGGTACGCCCCAGGTGCATCCTCTTACACTTCGTGACATTGAATCTCAGCAGCCATTCCTTCGACCATTCCTGGAGCCCACAGAGGTCCTTCTGCAGCTCTTCACAGTCCGCTTGGTTCTTAATTTCCCGAAATAACTTGGCGTCATCGGCAAACATTTGTATGGAGGAGTGTACAACGTCAGGCATATCATTTATGAAACAAACAAACAACAGCGGGCCCAATACACTACCCTGCGGTACCCCACTTGTTACAGGTACAGATGACGATTTCGTGCCATTAATCACCACACATTGCTTGCGGTCATGTAGAAAGTCTTCTATCCACGCTAGGACATTTCCCCGAATTCCGTACCCTTCCAGTTTGATTTTCAGCCTTTCGTGGGGTACACTGTCGAAAGCCTTGGCAAAATCTAGGTAAATATTGTCGATATTACCACCCCGTTCTAGAATATGGGTCCAAATATCCAATACCTTGAGCAATTGTGTCAAGCAAGAGCGCCCCGGCATAAAACCGTGTTGGCAATCTTTTACAAGGTTGTTTCGTAGTAGATGTTCCATCGCTGCATCTCTGATAATACTCTCAAGTACTTTACATATTATGCTGGTCAGGCTCACCGGTCTATAGTTGTTCGTGGAGTGCCTATCGCCCTTCTTGAAGATAGGACTCACATAAGCCACTTTCCATTCACTGGGGACCATTTGTTCATCCAGGCATTTACAAAACAGAATCTTCAGGGGCTCTGCAAGCTCGTTGCACAGCTCCCTTAGCACTCTAGGATGCACCATGTCAGGTCCAGGACTCTTATGGACCTTTAGCCTGGACAGTTTATTTCTAATACCCTCTTCTGTGAACACAATGTGGGTCAGTGCTGTGTCGAACCGTCTGTCCTCAAACGCAGGAAGGTTAGTTGCATCCTCTCTTGTGAACACTGAGGAAAAGAAGCTGTTCAATGCCTCAGCTTTATCCTGGTCAGAATCTGCGTAACTACCATCTTCAAGCCTCAGGTCTGATACTCCTACTCGCGTTTTCAATTTCGACTTTGCATAGCGGTAAAACGCCTTTGGGTTTGACTTGACCTCGCGTGCAACCAGCCTTTGGAACTCCTTTTCAGCCCTCCTACACTCTATCTTTGCTTGGTTTCTGGCTCTTGCATACATCCTCCTGTCTTGCTCATCGTTTGACCCAACCCACGTCTTGAATTTCTGGGTTTTCTTCTTAATTTTGTCGACCGCCGCATGGTTCATGTGTAGGGATCCCCTCGTATTCCTAGAAGCACTGGGTTTGGTCTTGGGTATATATTTATCGATCAAATGGGTCATTTTACTAGTTATGATATTCAGCGTAGCGTCTGCGTTCTTGTACCTTAATAAGTCAGGCCAGTTGATACCCCTCATCTCTTCCCTCATCCCATTGTAATTTCCCTTGTAATATTTGCACCTTGGCCTGGCCTTATCTTGAACTAGGTAACAGTTAGTCGAGAGTTACTACCACTCTCTATCATCCATGAATCTATCTAGCCTCCTTTTGAAACTTTCCAGAGTTCCAGCACTTACTACAAAGTTGCTAAGCTTGTTCCACTCGTCCACCACCCTATTTGTGAACCAGTTCCTCCCTATCTCCCTCCTAAACCTAAACTTATCCAACTTGAATCCGTTGCTCCGAGTCCTATCCTGCTCGGATATTATAAGAACTTTATCTATATCACTATTATTGATTCCTTTCACCCACTTGAATACTTCTATCATATCTCCCCGCACTCTTCGTCTTTCTAGGGAATGCAAGTTAAGTTTCTTTAACCTATCCTGATATGGAAGGTTTCTAAGTTCCGGAATCATTTTCGTCATTCTTCGCTGCACCGACTCCAGTGAATTTATATCCATTCTATAATAGGGGCACCAGAACTGAACCGCATAATCGAGGTGCGGCCTGACTAGCGCAAGATATAGTTGCAATAAGACCTCTGCACTCTTGTTACTTACACTTCTAGATATAAAACCCAATACTCTGTTTGCCTTATTTCGAACATTAACGCACTGTTTTCTAGGCCGTAGGTCCGGGCTTACAAGTACCCCTAGGTCTCTTTCACAAGTCGACTTCTCTAGGTTGATGTTGTTAAGGCTGTATACATTGACAGTATTTGTTCTTCTAATATTAAGTATGCTGCACTTGCTGGTGTTGAATTTCATTTGCCATTTTTCAGACCATCCCTGTTTGTATATCACCATTCAAGAACAAGAAACATTCTTCCCAGTTCCTAAAACATTTTCATGAATATAAGTATATTTACATTTAATGTGTATGTACCTAATAATTCCATGTGTTGCTTGTCATCAAATTACCTGATAGTGTTACTCCCTGCAGGCCTGCGGGGCTAATGTAATCCATCTATATCACGCTGTTATTTCTTGCATTATTTTTATGTTAACGGACATTATCCTGTGAAACTGGACACTTAAATTAACATGATATTTACTGGGGAGTCGAGGACACTTTGGACCGTCATTAAAAATGAGAATACGAGGGTGGGGGGGAATTCCAGTTGCATTCATATATTTACCAAAATGTTTAATTAATTATTTCTCACATTAACATCTGACCAAGTTTTTCGCACGAACTTTCTAATGGCTAGATAAGTCAAAGCTGATCCGTAAGTTCTGTTATCTCCCAAATATAAAATCCAGGTCAGTGTAGTGGTCAGTTCCATTTCACATTTCCACTTGTTTATTTACCTTATTAATAATGGCCTCCTACTAGAGGAGGTGGGGGGTGACATGGAGAGCATAGCGAACCCACACAGCCAGATTTTTTTGTTTTTTTAATCTGACCAATATCATAGGTATTTTGAGGCCATTTTGAAGCCATGTGCACTTGATATTAGGAGATACTCTGAAGTCAATAGTAGTGTAATTACTTTTTACTGTACAAAAAACCCACTAAAGAAAAGTATTAGACTTATCTAATGAAAAGGGGTGCGAACCCCCCTAGATCCGCCCCTGCATGATGGAACGTTTAAGAAACAACCCTGGTAAAGAACTGCCAGTTCGGTTTTATGCCAGGAGGCTCCTGCTTGACACTATAATCAAGGTACTGGATGTTTGGACTCAAATTCCAAAACAGGGTGGCAATATCGACAATACAGTATACAGTTTACCTAAATTTTGACAAGGCTTTCAACAGCGTATACATAAAAGGCTGAAAATTAAACTGAAAGGGTATGGAATTTTCTCTTTTATCCTCGTCACCACTGATCGGCGCTCTTGCTAAACACAATTGCTCAAGGTATTAGATATTTGGACCCATATTCTGGAACGGGGTGGTAATGTAGTGGATACTCTCCCCTACAACTGCCGACTGACCCCGCCGTCCGCTTACCAGCCAATCAGTGTACAGCCTTGACTTGACTTAAATGCTAGTGACAGGGGGGAAGGAGGTTCAGGGGAAGGATAAAGGGAGGATTGAAGTAAATTTTAGAAGGAGAGAAAGGTGCCGTGGCTAAACACTGCTTGCGTGAGGGGATTTAAGTTGGAGGCAGCAGCAACTCGCCTGGACGTGGCGAGGAGGTGGCAGGACAGAGTCAGGTGAGCGTCAGGTCAAGCGTCAGGTGCGTGTTGGGTTGGGCAATTGTTTCTCAGTATTTGGTCGGCTTGATTGGGTGTGGTGTTTTCTTGTTTGGAGGAAATATCTTGGTCTTCTGTCTTGGTATTCTTGTTAGCTTGAAGTTGATTTTCTTCTTTCTCTCCTCCTCCTCCTCCTTCTCTCTTGAAGTGTCCATTCATTCATGTTTGGGTATTGTTCTTCGTCTTCCTCGTGTCTTATGTCCTCATAGGTGTGGAAGAAGTCGGAGACGGTGAGGTTGACCACGTGGGC